CTTTATGTGATCAGTTTCTTTTCATCAATTCATCGACATTTGAAAAGAAAGTTTTCGTCATTATTGTTAATATAGAATTACAATTTAGCTTCTGTTTTCATAATTAATTATTCTAAGAATTTGGAGTCTACTATCATTATAGTAGAAGGCAGTTATTGATTTCTTTACGCAAAAGTTAGGTAACGTAATTAACGTTGCATAATCAGTTTCCAAAAGGTTACTAATAAACGACAATCTGCCATTTACAAATAAAAACAAAGAAGTTCTTCAAATAACTTAATATACAATATGCTTTGAATTTTAATTCAAAACTTTATTAAAAAAAATATCTTAAAAAGTTTAAACAACGGTGTCCAATATAACTTTTGTTTAATTTGACTAAAAAATTTTAATTCTAAATCATGCTCTGATTTCAAAATCTTGTTTAACTTCTTGAAAAAATTATAATAAATTATTATATAACATGTTATATGAGGATTCAGAGTATAGATGTTTCTTTCACTATTCTTTCATTAAATCTATTTTATATAATATAAAGCGTAAAATTCTGTTGTATGTCTGAATAAAAATTTACATACACATATAAATTGTAATTAATTATCTGTGTTGACATTGACTTGGAAAATAATTTAGAATTCAGGTCTTCGATTGGTTATAATTCTTTAAAGAAAAATAAGCTTTTCCCCTCTTATTTTCCTCTTAAGGGAACGCGCAAGTCTTATCCAATGACGGTATCGTAAACGCGCGTGTAGTAACGTAAAAGGAACATATCGGATTCTTCGATCGTGAGCATCGTACTGATAGGCGTTTGAACAGACTTCGACCTTTCCCTCAGGCATTTGCGACAGGTCAATCGTAAACGACAAATAGGTATGTATGATATAGTCATATAAACAACGTTTCACAGGCCAAAATCCACGGGCCAGGCTAGAAAAATATAGATATAGATACAGGGTGGTCCAGTAAACTTTCAACAGCAGCGGGCATTATAGATCAGCTATAGACATGGTCGACCTCATTCTCGTCTTTATTAGAAAATGAAGAACTTTTTAAGAGTACACAAAAGCTTCTGCAATCTTTTCGTCGTCCAACTTTCCTCATACAATAATATTTTGTTAAAAGATTGCTAGAATTAGAACGAATTCTTTGTCCATTTTGATCAATGTTATTTTAATTTAGATTTAACACGTTTATAATTAATCTTGTTCGCTTAATTTAAGGGAATAATAACCGAATCAAGTTTTTAATTTAGGCTACTTATTATTTTCTTCCATGCACACGTATGCGTAAAATTATGCTAATCTTCTCCAACAAATAATAATATTTCTTACTTTTTTCTAACATGCGTATGAAGATCATTGTCAGAAGTACAATATGTTCGATTTCTACACTTTTTCCAAATTCCTCATTTATCTTTACATCTTCTCAACCTACAGTTGCTACATTCTTCGGGTAAAGAAATCGAACTAGACTAGAGGAATTTTATGAACGCCGTTGCCCGATGCCGTTTTACCTAATCTAAACTTGGTCGTCGCAGTCGCGACGGGATTAAATTGCTTATCCAACTTTTGTCCAATTTTTATCCTTTTGTCGGAATAAAACTTCAATTTCAACCTCACAAAAGAATCTCCTGACAAATACTATCCAAAAAAATATCAATGATTGGAGATATTAAAAATCCATTGTAGATATTTTTGTTAGAACGTCAGCTATTATGGTAAATTACCGATAGAATATTTTAATTTATATATTTTGTATAAACAGCATACAAGTGCTGTATTTAAAAAATTGATCAAAACTGTAATAAAGAATCTTTTTTTTTTATAAAGTTTCGTTTTTAAGATAGTCAAATTTGTAAAAATTTGAGAAATTGATACCACTTTTATTACTCAAAATATTATATAGATAAATTCGGATATATACGAGAGATAAATTCAACAGTGTCGGTTTGTAGCGTAATCAAACACGATTCACTTGTCGCAGATATGTCATTAAATCTAACTGTGCATCCGTCGTCTCGTAAGAGACATGTAGAGAAGGATCGATCGTGTGGTAAATCTTACGAAGCGCGAGCAGACGCTTATATATGTTCGACTAATTCGATTGACCGTGCACTAACGTCAGGCTTGCACAGAGCCGATAGGGAAATAAGTCGAGCAGCAAGATATTTTCTTAGGTCTCCCAACAAAGAATGTAAGAAAAGTAAAAAGAGAATGGAAGCGATAGCAAAAGAAAGCAGAAGGCTTTCGAGCCCAAGACATCTCGAAAAATACCCATTTGTAAGTTGCAACTTCATATTTTCCTCTCTTACTGTTATTCTTTCTCCATAGCTTCTTAGTTATTATTTCTACTTATTTATTTTTTCACCGTGTTGTAGTATTTCATTTCTATTTCTCCGTTCTAAAAATATCCTTTTCGGAAACGTTTGATCAGAATAGCGATTCGATACTTGACAAGGTAAACAAGTAATGACTTGACCTATTTCCTCATTCTGGCTCTGCGTATTTGTAACATTAAGAATTAGTTGCAGTCAACAACGAATCCTTTCACGGATTTAACATTTGGAATCAAATTAGGATCCTTGAGGAAGAATAAATGATGTTTTTTTTTTCGATGATTTGATTTTATCATCCAGACATCACTGTGTGCTATAGAAAGGATTTACAGAAAAACGTACATAATTATGCACCAAAGCAATGTATATATTCTTTTCATCGGAAGAATTTATACCTAAAAAAAGAATTAATCTGCGGTAGCCTAAAATTAAAGTAGAAAAATGTCACTGGAGTCGTTGTTGATATTAATTTTGCTTTTCTCCACGGATATCTATTAGTCGTTTGTCAGACACTTCTACTGCGCTTATGTAAGTACAAGATTAGCTTCCGATTTATTCAACGATTTTGGAAAAACAAAATGGACCTGTGATATGTTTTGGACATTGACGAAAAATGCGAAAGCTCACATTATTTCTGTGAGGTGGAAAAATCGATCGAGTCAGGCAAGGTCGTATACATTAATGTCATTAACGTCTTACAGTTCCATTCATTCAAACATTTCCAGATCGAACACATTATATACCTGAATTCTCACTAAACTTTTTTTTTGAGCGATTATTTATTTTTTTTACTATGTTTCATCTTTTACGTCAAAAATTTAATAGTGTCGAACTGTCAAACATAGTAGTCCTGATTTATAATGCACGGATATCTAAATACAACGCGCTCGACTAGGAAATACCTAAAGCAAAACTGAAAGGCATTATTAACGCCATCATTAATGTATTTAAAGGATGAGGGATGAGCTCCCTTGAGAAAACATTTATCGCATTATTCTAAGATTATACACATCGACACACCCAGGATTAACTGTCATTAAGTTATTATATTCATTATCGGTTATAAATAGGCATTCTCAATTATATGTCAAACGCAATTCACCGACGAATTGTCTCGACTGCTGCATCGTACGTAGAAAAGACGCAAATGCGTCGGAATGTAAAAATGTGATGTATAATTTTCGTGAAAATCTCCGAAGTTCAATCCGAAATCATTTCAGGCAAGTTCACGTCTCGACACTGTGAACGCACAAAAATGATTTTCTTTGACTTTTGTGTCATTATAATGTCGAAAAATGAATCGCCAAAACCACATCAGTTTCAACTCTCAATTTTAAAGAGATAAAACGCGACTAATGCCCACTCGCATATCGTCATTTAAAGGAATGGAGGAGAGCCGTCGCAATTAGTCAGAGAAAAATGATGTATCTTGCGTTTGACATTGGACACAGGTACAAGTGCGCCATCGTCGATCTGTTTCATTATGGAAAGAAATACTTAAGCTTTATTCATCGAAACGTTAATCTAATGTTTCGTAGAATTAGGTAAATCCCCGAATTAATAAGCGTAGCGATCGAATAAATCTTCGGAGAGAAACGTTGGAAACGTCAATACCTAGGACAGTTTCACAAAATCGATAGCAACACTTACAAAATATATACGAATATATAGACATTTCATTTTAGATATAACAGTTTAGTTTAGATATAACAGTTTAATATAAACTATTCTACTTTTATATATTTATCTTACATTTCGATAGAGCTATATATTTAGTTACGTCTTTCCATTAAAACATTATATCTAATAAACTCGACGTTTGCAATGTTTGTGGTCCGGGATTTCAATCATTTTGCGATTCCATTGTCCCAATCTTGTAACCGCATTTTAGATACGTGACATTTAAAGTTAGTATTTTCAGCCAATAAAGACGTGCATAAGTTACTCACATCGAAAGCAACGACTACCTGAGATGGAAACCAATTATATATTAATTAATATTTAAATTACACTGATAATCGTTACGATAAAATTACGTTATTGTGAATAATGAATTCACAAAAAGTGTTTTTATTTAACAGACGCTTAAGTATTTCTTTCCAGTGTGTTTACGATTGAAACGACCAGTTAACCACTAGTGGAAAATTTATTCGCGGGATCACAGATAAAACTATACTGCCCTTGACATCATTTAACTCTTGTTGCTAAACATCTCGTAAGATTAAGAGACACACATAGAATGTGCGATCGAGAGAAGCTCGATTTATAATATTCAGTTAGTCGGACGTTTAATCGGGAGACTTCAGAAAGGGAATTCAAATGATACCAAACGTCCTCCGTCCGCATTCCTCGATCCTTTCCTCTCGTCGTGCTTAGTATAGTATAACAAAATATAAATCTGAAGGCGACACATACGTACGTACAATCGCGAGCACGTACATACACGTGTACCAAGGTGGTTTGTTGCATCGAGTTGGCATGCATCTTTAAACGAAAAAGCAATCCACGAAGCGTCCAAAATAGAAAGTTGTATAATAAAAAGATTTATTGCTTCCATGAAGTTTTCTTGAAAAAATATCTTCGATTATTTTGCTGACGTTATATCAGATGATAGACCATCAAGTCCGCAGCTTAATAAGTGATGCAACAACAATAAAAGTCTCTTGATTGCAAGATCGCATGTAAACAGGGTGGAAAGAAACGTGACAAATTGCTCGATGATGAATAACGAAACTCACGCGCCTCTCGCCATTTTATGAGGAATGTGCATCTATGTGCACGCCAACACGATCCGACCAACGCCCCGTACACTCATATACAGGTAGATATTTGTCTAACGTGCAACATGTTCCTGTTGTCATAAGAGCATCCAGTACAATGGAAACGGTTCTGAGAATTACGTTGGAGACCTTTTAAATCTCGTAATTGCGAAACTTACTGACAACCTCGTTGGACTCCTGATAGAACGGAACGCCATGGCCCGAACGATAGTAGAGATTCATGGCACCACCCTCTGAAGCCCTCCTGTGCGCATTTGTAGGGTGACCTTTGAGGTGAGCCGGTGAACCACCTGCCTCTTCAGTATCCGGCAGCATTCTGTCCTTTGTCTTCGGTGTGCTCCAATGCATAGTCTATAAACAGAAGAAGATCCGATTAACTTCACAAGACATAATATAGAACGCGAAATTAGAGGCCTTTTGGACCCTTATTACTGTTACAGAGCGCTCCTCCATTTTCAGCGAGAAAGAAATTAGTCAAGAGATTGATGAAATAATCTACAATTCGAAGAAGAAAGACTTAGAAAAAGACTACTTAAGATATTAAATGGCTATTTAATGTCTATAATTTATGATTTTTTTTGCATCTTGAATGAGAATTTTAATTATAAATTTATAAATAGAATCAATACGTTTCACAAGCTTGCTGCATTAAACACGACTGACGGTATACGTAAAAAAATTGACTTTTTCCAAAGTATATTAAAAACAAACAAATTACATGGTAATTAACTGCAATTGATCGTCCAAAATGAATAACAATAGGTGCATTAATTATTGCGCCTTACCTGCTGCACATGCTCCTTCATACCGACCCATTGTTTGTAACTGATCTTAATACCGCTATTCCGCCATTTATCATAATTGCTTCTCTTTTCAGGATCGCATAGAACTTCTTTTGCATACTACGATATAAGATAGAAAATATCAGAGTCTCACTCTCTTTGTTTACGCGTAAAATAAAATTTTTATTGTATAAGAGGCATACCTTTAGTTGTTGAAATTTCTTTTCGGCCTCCTTGTCACCATCGTTCTTGTCTGGATGATACTGCAGTGCTAATACCTTATATTCCGCTGTAATCTGCTCGACCTAATCCGATTGCAAGAATGGGAATTGATCAATTTTTACTTGTATTTTCTCTCTTGTTGTTCTCTGTTTCTTTTTTCAATTTAATACGCGTTAAATGAAAAATATATGAGAAACGTATTAAATTTGTTCAATACTACAGATATAATTATTTGATTTTTGTAATGAGATTTTACTGAATAAACTTTGAACTTTAATTACAAATATATAATCTAAGCCACTTATGATATATATTAAAATATATAATTTTTATGAAGAAAAGAGCACAATTTTGACATTTTTAATTTAAATACATTTTCGTTGTAATATATCATGATATTGAATTGATTTATAAACACATAGATATGCCTGGATATCTCAACTGTCTGCAGTAGTGTCACGTTCGTTGTGTCTCGTCAATGAAAACGAAATGTCATGAACACGCTTACACGATATATCGACTGAGGACGAAATTCTTATAAAAAAATTCTCGATTAAGATAATAAAATGTAAACTGAAGAATTGAAAGGCAAGCAACCTTTCCATCGCGTGTATCACTATTAAAACTATTAATATCTACTATTATTGCTATAAAATGCATAATCAAATAAATATTATAAATACTAAAATTTACAATCTGTTTTTAATATGACCAAAATATGTATATTGGTAATATCGTAATATGATTTTCTCGTGAACAAATAAAATTTTTTTATTGAATAAAATAGTGCAAAGACGTTTAAATCTATTAAAATAATTTCGCACCCGGTATGACACGAGATTGATTTGATTTCAGCACGAATATTATTGTGCACAACTGCAACATACCGTAAACTAGGAGCAGATGCAACTACACATAATTGTGTTGATCGAGAATTCAATTAATGGAGAGTTTAAATTGCAATTTCCTTCTGGGATCTAATTATCACAGAAGCAACTCGACGTTTAATTTAATCATTTCAGTACAGATGTAGAAAATTAATTTTGTATATGTACATCGTTAAATGCCTCAATAAATGCGTTATAATAATTAAAATTTTCAGATTATTGTTTATGAATTTTATACTTTAATAATTAAATTTTCATAAAATAAGCTATAACAGAATTGATGATACATTACATAAATAAAACATCACAGCTATATAATTAAAAATTAAATTCCTTTTAATGAATAAGCAAACTGAATAATTGTTGCATAATGCAGAGTTCAATAATCAAATTTTAATTAAAATTAATTATTAGTTCAATAATTAAATTAAAATTAAACTTAATTATTAATCAATTTTTTTTATTGGAATTAATTAAGATAATGATTAGAGATAAGAGATTAAATAGATAATAATTAGATAAATGATTAAATAGTATTTTCCTAAATATTATAATATTCACATCTTGTTTTATCATATTTCATATTAAATTTAATAGGCGATCTTTTTAATTTAATTAATAATTTAATTTTCATGACAAACTCATTTCTTAACACGAAGATTTCAATACGAACATTTCATTAGGTAACGCCTACGTTACGAGTGATTTGATAGACAGAAATATAGTAACTGCGTTCATTTTATAATAAATTAAAAAATGAAAATTATCTTCGACTCTGAAAAGCAAACATAATTCACCAATAATAGTTCAATGACATATACAATAGCCTAGATGCATTAATATTGCGAACAAACACTAATTAATTTAAGGGAAATTTCCTGTTATATATAAAGAATGAAATAGAAAATAATTAACTTGACTTAATTATCCAAAACCCGCACAACGTGGTTTGAATAATTCGAAAGCAAACATTTCTCACAAGACAACAAGCCGCTTTAGAAAATATGCAGATTGAATTTGTGATTGATCTAACAGGTCTAACAAGACCAACAGGAAGATGGAAAAAAAAAGAAAGAGTAACTCTTTTTTCAAGTTTTACTTTTATGAATATGTATCTCTCTCTCGGTCAACACACGGCATTAAATTCAAATGGTGCACTGTAGTAGCGCGATCAGTCTATAACAGAGACACAGAGCTCATAAGACGCAATAAAAATTCCCCTCAACGTGCTAGGCCTCACCGTGGAAGACTCGTCACAAGATAACAGAGCGTAATAGTCCTCCTCCTCACTGGGCGAGTAATTGATGGCGTCCTCGACACTCATTTCGCGACTCCTACCGAAATCCCCTGATGCTCTCTTACCACCCTACTCCTTCAGAGATTCCACGAGGGCGTTTGCACGCGGAAAAAGGTCGCAGCCGCTACCGGGCTTCCCGTTGAGGATCTCCCGTCGCTTTTTAAACCCAATCAGTCGAGATTCCGTCACCTGTTGCGAAAGCGAGCAAGTTAGTCCGTAAACGTCGCCGTCGCGTCGTCGACTACCTCGGACGCCAAAGTGAACCGAGTCAAGGGAAAACCGTGTCGCAGACCCGGAAAGACCCGATTCCCGGGGAATCCCGCGCGACTGCGTACTCGCCATCCCGAGCCGGCACCCTCGTTACAAAACGCGCAATTCGTACCATTGCGCAGTTGCGGCTTACCGTTCACCCTTGCGTCTCAACCACCTTGTCTCAAACAGGAACTAAAATCGTATTTATCTCCTCTTTCGGATCATTATATAATTCATTATTCTCTTTAAATTCATATCCATTCATCCTTATAACTAAAAAATATCGAATTGAATCTAAGACGATCTTTTATGAGGGTGAATTTCCTGGTCGCGATTATTATAAAGAACTATGACGTTAGGGAAGCGAGATTACCGCGAGAAATTGTGGAATCTTTTGCTTAATGTACATTGAAGTAAGGCTTCTTGCTACCCGTTTCTTCGAACTGAACCAGAGACTCGAAGGATATAAAGCAAAACTCATTTTCCTCTCGATATTAAGTTAAGAGTGCGATTTAATTCTGCGCCTTCTCTTGCGCTACGCGTCTAGCCATTCGCAGAGAGAAGGCGTTATTTCGCAGAGCAAGTAAATGTATAAATTTTTGAAAAATATAAACTCTACAAAAACATACAATTGCAGTTGTTTATGACGTCATTCTTCGTTAAAAGTGTACTTTCCCTTAAATAAATTATCTAAAAAATTAATCTTTTTAGTAATTTATCGCGAACTGTAATATATATATTAAGCTGTTATTTCGTGAAAGTAATTATTGTGACATTAATATTAGTAGAGAGATTTCGCGGAACTCCTATTTAATAGAGTAGTGATAAAAAAATGTGTAGTATGAGAAATTTAATTAATAACTTTTTGTCTCTTTTTTTACTTTTATGAAAAAAAGAGAGGAAAAGAGATGAGAGAGAGAGAGAGAGAGAGAGAGAGAGAGAGAGAGAGAGAGAGAGAGCTGTACGTCCTAAAAAATTATATTAATGCATACATATTTGTTTCAGCATACATTTTAAATACCAAAACCGACAAAATGCGTTTATTAACAAATTGTGCCGACAACATAACGATCATGCATTTGCTCTTACGTAAGCACCGTTATCGCTGAGAGTCTCGAGATCGCTTTTAAGGCTAATCGCTATCGCTTTGTAGGCTGTTGCTCTATATCTTTGCAAAATCGCTTCTTCTTTCGAGAAGTCGTGTGTGAAGATCGTGAAAGAGCACACTTACGGGCATGAAGATCAGTCCCGATCCTTCGCAACGAGACAGCAGGTAACGTTTCGCTTCAGAATAAGCGGTCGAACGTGTTGCAAACAGCACTATGAAGCATTGAGCTCCGCAAGACTCTGAAGACTCGCGTCTCGCCACAAGACTCTGGAGACTCGCGGCTTTCACCCGCGGTTAAATAACCTTGAACCTCTATATATACATTGCGACTTTACCGACCGTGGAAGCGAGATTAAATAGTGCGACTCATTCATTCTCTCTCTGGTATTTCTATAATCGAGAACCAATTGTTCATCGAGATGATCGAGATTAAATTTTATCTAGCACGATCGCGAGCCAGAGGAAATAGTGACGAGACACACATCTCACTGACTGCAACGCTGCGCTGAATCGCACTTTAATTTGTCATAGAAAAATATAAGAATATTAAATGTGTCACTGTTGTCTGATAAATTGTCGTATATTCTTCTACTGCGTTTATACATATTTGTCACCCAAAGAAATTCGATTTATATGCGGAACACGCTAAACACGAATGTTTGCCGTAGGGATGCGGAAACTTGATTGGAAATTCAAATTCTTTGAAGAAACGCAAGAAGAGGCAAATGAGAGAGACACGTCGAAACGTGAATGAATGTATGGATCAATTATGCATTCTTGCTTCTGCGTGAAGACGACAAAACAGTCGCCGGCACTTTCATTTACAACTACTAACGTTACTCTATCCACTCTCTGACGCATTCTCTGCAGCTAGCGATAAATAATAAAATTCTGTAATTCTACATATGCAACAATAAAAAGTAATTGTGTATAATGTTTATATATATATATATATATATATATATATTTCAAAGATTATTTCAATATTTATTTACAAATAAATATTAAAATAATCTTTTTGTATATCAAAATCAACAAAATTTGCAGGTTTTAAAGTGCTCCCTTAATTTTTTTGCATAGTATACATATCATATATATATATATATATGTGTGTATAATATGTATGAAAAATGTAGTACATATGCATATATGCATATCTCAAGCTGCGCCAGCCGTACTGTGAAAATTCAATGCACAATGAATACATCATGTGAAAAAGAAAAATAGAGATAGACTGCATTCAATAGTTTGAAGAAACGTATAACCATTTGGTCGCCACGTGGCGAATCAAATTCAGGCGCCTGCATCATAAATCTAGTAGTTATAGACCCAAAGCTGCTCAAAACTAACACGGTCAAAAGGAAAAATTTTTGTTGACATTTTCTCGGTTTACAATTTCATCATGATGGAATAAAAATATTTTTTAATAAAATAACAAATATCGCTAACAAATAAATGTGTCGATTGAAAAAAATTCTTTTTTTTCTGTTTTAAGGATTTAAGTTTTTTTTTTTTATGAAGAGTTTATAAATCGATGGTCTAAGGTTTGATTCTTGCTGGCAGGATCGCAGCAATTGCGGAATTAATTTCCGGCTTTATGAATATTATTAATTTGATTAGAGAGATCCGATGAAAATGCTGCAGCACGTGTTCCCTTCGTCGCAGTTAAATCGAGCAATTTCTGACTCTATCGGTGAGTTACGGTACGATAATCACTCAAAGGGTTACGAGACGCGGCTGCGAGAAATGTGTCGAAAGGGTCGAACCCTTTCGCTGCTCAAGGAGATGCGTACACTTTCCGAGGGCAGGAAATACATGCTCCGCTCGGCTTCCGCACGCATATGCGTGACAGACACGCAAGCGTGCGCGCGTGGCGCTATTCTTATCTCAATAGAAATTAAGGTAGGCACCGAGAAAGATACGCGCGTACTACAGGTACCACGAAAACGTTCACGTTTGTTCTCAACTATTGACTGTTGAACGATGATATCTTTTAAGGAAAAGTGTTATTGAACTCTTATCAAAAGAAGAAATAAACTCTTGTATCAATTTTAGGAGAATAGCACACTAATCTATTTTCCAGAAAGATTGTCTCAGTTGTTATTTTTCTTTTTTCAATATTTCAAGAAAATGAGAAATTATAATTTTTAAAAATGTGTTATTAATTTTTTATTTATTGCGTGATAGATCTACATTTCACATTCAAACTTCTGTAGTTCATATCCCTGGTAGATATGTACAGTAAAACATTATTGATGACAAAATCGAATATACAGCGTGTGTACAGATTGTACAAACGTGGTACAGATTTTGCTTTCAGATATCAGGGAAAACTCATGCGAGGAGGGTCAAGACGCACACGTGAATTCTTTGACGAACTGTCCTTCGGGGTTTCAGTTTTGCCGTCCTTGTCTAGCCCGAAATAACGTTTCGTACGAAGTATGGGCGTTCCTTCGCACTACTGCCAGATGCGTGGGTGGTGGCAGTGAAGAAGAGAAGGAGAACGTGAAGCGAGTGAGCGAGCGAGCGAAGGAGCGAGAGCAATCATATGGTAGCACTGACGACGGAGCTCCCTCCTGGTCTGGCTTGTCAGTGCTTCATGAAGTGTTGTGCAGTATCCGTGCACGATCCCTGACCGAGCATGACCCTGACAGAGTCGAAACCTTCGAATCCCTAAGTGATAACTGAAAAATCCTGAAAAAAACGTCGAGATCTCTTCTAGGGATCTCTTCTACGCGATATGGTTGCGACAGAGGTGATAACAGTGCTCGAAACGTGAAAAAGACGAAGAAAAAGCTGCTATCTTAATGTTTCTATCTTAACTGTTGCACGATCGAATAGACCAGCATTGAGATCTTGCTGATCGGTTGTCGACGATAATCTCGTGAATCATAACTATGTTAATTAAGTGTCAAACGGACGCGGAATACGTACGTTCTTATGCAATAAAAAACACTTTAAGCCTGGTGCAATTACCGATCATTCCAGCAAACGAAATAATTTGTGTACAATTTGTAATGAGGCTGCGCCTTACTCTGATCAATGAATGAGATACTTAACTCCGCAATCTTTGCAAAGAAAATATTTTTTCAATATATGAGAACGCATTTTTGTATGGAGAATATTACAGTCCTGAAAGAGTACAAAGATGCATGAAATAATCACAGGATATATAATAAAACACAGATAAGCTATGCAAAGAAGATATTATGAGTTATGTGGAGAAGAAAAACAAGAAGAAGCAAATAAGAATTCGCAATCTTTCACAAAAGATACATTTATTCGGTAGTGTCAAACTAACGTTGCTTGAAGTTTATTAGAAATATGTTCTCTTTCAAATGTCGTTCCTCAAGGATCATCTTAAGTGAATTGTAGAACGAACAAAAAATGAATAATAAAAGGCTGTATGAACGATGAAATATTGAAGGTGAGTTCGTAAATCGCGAGATATGTAAATCGATTAGACTTATATTTGCATACTCGTACTCTCCGGCGCGTACTATGCAAAATTCGACTTACGTCGAAGGAATAAATCTGTCTCACGAAAATTCTACTTTTATACCAACTATTTTCACTTTACATTTCCACAATGAATATTTTCAGGATCTGTAGAGAACGGCTTTTATATAAACGGATATCGCATTAGTGATATATATAAAGCAATCTACATATAGCATATTTGGAAAATCGATAATACATATAGGGTATGGCGTATATTAAAAACGTGTCTCTCCTATCTTTTTATTATTTCTTATTTAATATTTAACAATATATTATGATTAACAAGCTATTTTAGAGATCAATTTATTTAATATTAACTTTAAATATTATAATTGGGTGATATAGT